AGAATAAATCCCAGATTTATGGCAACAGCATCCGCCCATTTAACTGCATCCTCAAACGTTCGAAAAACCGTGTCTGTCACAAAATTTGCACTGTAATTCACAACGTCTCCGCCTCCTTCAACCTCCGAATTCTATAAACATACATGACAAACACAAAAAACACGTCAAGCTTAGTATTTTAAGAATAATATTAAAAATAACAATAATAATAACTATAACAATAATAATAATATTAATAATAATAATAATAATAATAATAATAATAATAATAACAACAACAATAATAAGAATAATAATAATAATAACAATAATAATAATAAGAATAATAATAATAATAATAATAATAATAATAATAATAACAATAACAATAACAATAATAATAATAATAATAATAATAGTAATAATAGTAGTAATAATAATAATAATAGTAGTAGTAATAATAATAATAATAATAATAATAATCGTAACAACAGCAACAATAACAATAATCATAATAATTTTACAATAATAACAAAAACAACAACAACAATAACAATAATCATAATAATTTTACAATAATAACAAAAACAACAACAACAACAACAACAATAATAATAATAATAATATTAATAATATTAATAATATTAATAATAATAATAATATTAATAATAACCATGAAAATCATAACAATAATAATAATAATAATAATAATAATAATAATAATAATAAGCAATAACATACAATAAGCAAAAAAAAAAATAAAAAAGGACATCCGCCTAATTTTTCCAGAATTATAAAGGAGGATCCGCCTAAAATTTCCGGATCCTCCACAGGAGATCCGGAAATTCTAGGCGGAAGTATACATATGCCTAGAATTTTCGGATCTCCTGTGGAGGATCCGGAAATTTCAGGCGGATCCTCCTTAATATTTTCGGAAAAATTAGGCGGATGTCCACTTCACAAAAAAAAAAAAAAAAATTAGCGACATACATATTCTTCCGACGAAGCCTCCGGCATATGATCGTCGCCGTCGTTCATCGTCCAAGACTAGTCGCTACACCTTGCTTTTTTTTTGCGGTAAACGGTTTAAGATTTTTGGTGGTGAGCTCGGGATTTTTGGGGCGTGTGATTTTTTAAATCCAAGTGGTGGACTCGGGATTTTTTTAAGGCAAGTGGTGGGCTCGGGATTTTTTAATGCCAAGTGACAATGTGGTGGAGCCATATATAGGCCAAATTCACATAAGGGCAAAAAGGTCATTTCCTCCTAAAATGGGAGCGTCACCCTGTAAATTGGGAATGACGAATAGCATTTCAGTATTCGAATGGAGCCATTGTCACAGAATCAAATGACCTTATTAATACTTATGCCTTTTCTTAATAAATGCATCCTTTTGACACGAGTCAATGCCTAATTAGATTGTTTAATTTTTAGTTATGCTTTAATAATATTTATAAAATTTAAATTTTGAATGTACAAATTGAGATTAACACAACAAATATTGAAAGATTTTTTTTCTTAAAAGTTGGAAAAATACACTTTAATAATCCGAACTTTTAGCGATATGTTCTTAATTATCCCAACTTTCGTTTATTCTTAAGTAGTACGAACTTTGATGTGTATTTTCTTCCAACAGGCCCAACCAGTCAATAAAAAGTCAATTACCTGCTATAAAAGGTAATGTGTCAACACGTAATTGGTTCAAAAAATAAAAACAAAAAGAATAAAAACCCACCACTCTTCAGCCACCGCCCTCCCTTCCCCACCTTCAAACCCTAGCCCAACCACTTAAAATCGACAGTCGGCACCCTAACAACTAAAAACGGACAGCCGCCACCTCCCAACCCCCGATAACAGCCGGCCGCCCCACCCCCAGCCCCCGAAACCATCCCCTATCTTCTCCCATTGATGAAAACTTCCCTCCTCCCTTCCCCCACCACCAAAATGATTGGTTTTGGCGTTTTTGACGGTGGGGGAAGGGGGGTGGTTTCGTGGGTTTGGGGAAGGGAGAGGGTGGTTTAGGGGGCTGAGGGTGCGGCGGTCAGCCGTTATCGGTGGTGGGGAGATGGCGGCCGGCCGTTTTTAGGTGTTAGGGGGGTCGATCGCCAGTTTATGGTGGTTGGGATTGGGGTTGAGGTGGGGGAAGAGGAGGGGGGTGGCTGAAGGATGGTGGTTTTTCTTATGTTTTTGTTTTTTTTTTATGTATTTTCTATTTTTTAAAAAAATTTAGAACAATCACATTGCGACATGTAGTATTAAAAAAAATAACATTTTCATCAGGTCATCAATAATTTGGCATGATGGAGAAAAATACATATCAAAGTTCATATTACTCAGAAATAAACAAAAGTTGGGATTATTGAGAGTAAATCGCTGAAATTTCAATTGTTAAAATGAATTTTTCCAAGAATTGTACATATTAACGTGATTAAAGCAAGTTTTGAAACAATGTCGAATGCCAATATGATTCATTTGTACTGCTAAGAAATGAATGACTTAGTTGTAAAAAAAAAAAAAAAAATGAAATGAATGGCTTAATAATTTTTTTTTTTTTTTTTTTTTTTTGACAGAATGACTCAATAATTTCACCTTTTCAGACCCACTAAATTTGACAGTTTATATATATATATATATATATATATATTTTGAGGAAGTATATAACATGAAGTTGTACGAGTGATTAATTACATTATCTACCTTGACTACCTACACCCTTCATTCTTAAATGTTCAACTTTTTTTTACCTTATTTTGTATTTTGTTTTTTTTATCAAATACTCTGTATAGTTTACCATTTACCCTTTTCCGCTTACCTTAATTTTCTTCAAGCTTATAACTGTTATAAGTATTTCTCTATCAATTATTTTCTTATACCCACCTATCTGCTTGTTTTATCATTACGTTCTATATATACAGACAATACCGTACCTTTTATCTTACATTTACTCGCCCATTTAATGTGCTTAATAAACAAGAATTTAATTTATGTGTTGAGTAGTCGATCATTTAGTTATGGACTACGTACATCCCAGCCTAAGATGAGGCTAATTATAATTAAAAATCTGAAAGTAGATATGTTAATGAGACTTTTATTTGGACACGTATGGAGTAAACATGGTCCGACTTAAAACTTTTGAGAGCCCTGTGCCACTAAATAAATTACATGATAAATGGGGAGAAAGGGATCGAATTCAAGATGTCTAAACAAGTATATCCTTTTGACATTATAGACCTGACCAACTCAATCAACATACATTGACAAATAATTAGTCACTAAATAATGTGAGGCCATGTGTTATTGGGTTGTGCAAACAACCCAATAGCCGGCCTTAGGAGTAAAAGTTAGTTACCTTTAATTCATGCACTTACTCGATATAAAATGAAAGTAGAGTAATAGTCCATAGTAATCAATTAATAAAGGACCATTTTAATCAAAAGTGGATGCAATATGGATCCCCTCATATTTACGCAAAATATTCCATTTAAAAGCATGCTGACTCTTAATACCATGTTCGAAGATCATTTTAACCAAAAGTTTTATACTCTATCATAAATTCATGATCGAAAACTTTTTCCCATAATAAGAATTGATCCTTCAATAATTTAAAAACAAAAAAAATCAATCTTTTTATCTCAAATACTCAAGATTAAAGATGCTTAACCCATTACATATAGGGGTGTACACCGGTCCAAAACCGGACCGGACTTGGACCGGACCTGTTTGGACCGGGACCTAAATCAGTGAATTTTGAGGACCGGAGACCGGACCTGATTCAACAGGTGCGGTTCCGGGTCAGACCTGAAAAATCAGGTCCGGTCCAGGTTTGGACTTGAACAGACTTGTTTTGTATTTAATCTTGGATTGATACCCATGTTTCTTCATCCAAATGGTTGATCAATACCTCAGTTATATACATCACACATAAAAATTTCAAGCAATTTCCAACCAAAAATAAAAAACCCTACTCAACCAAATTGTTCACTTTAATACACACAATATACAACAATCAATCACTGTACTTATAAAAGAACCCCAAATTATAAAATCAATTTAATTCCTAAAGTATTCATAAAGTATTCATACAAAATAGACAGTTCACCAATTCAATTCAGATTAGGTCTACTTACCAGTCCACATAAAGTATTCATACAAAATTCTTAATCAAATAATTCCTAAATATACAAAAATCATGCAACCCCAGAAAGTAAATTTTACTCACAAATGCGCTTTGAGTTCTTCGATGCCCAGATTTACTGCTAGAAATCTCAGAGAAAATACCCACCATTTTGAAAGTTTTTAGCTTTGAATCAATCACTGTACTTTTTAAAAAACCCCAAATTATAAAATCATTTTTTATTAAAGCTCACGAATAAACGATTAAGCTTGTACTTGCTGGCTTGCTGCATTGCCTTCTTCTTGCGAATGATTAAGCCCCACTTGGAGATGAAGGAGAAGGAGAAGAAGGAGTGGGTGTTGCGATGGTTTTCTTGCCGGAAGATTCCGACGCCAAATGGTGGTAACGGCTGTTGTGGTTGACGCCAAATTGCCGGAAGATTCTTGCCGGAAGTTGCTGTAATGGCTGATGCCGTGGTTTTCTTGGGGTGGTTGTCGCCTTGTCAGTGTTAGCTGCTGCGGTGGTTGTCGGTGTTGGGCGAGGAGAGGAGATTAGATCTAGAGTTTGAGAAGAGAGAGGAGAGGAGAGAATTTGAGAAGAGAACTACAACTCTGAAATTAGATCTAGGGTTCTGCTGACTTGTTGTTTTATATATATAAAAAAAATTATAATTTCAGGGTTTCAGGTCCGGACTGGGGTTTTCCGGTTTTTACCCGGATCGGACCGGAAAACCGGAATCGCTTATTTTCAAGGACCGGGACCGGACCTGAATCAACAGGTTCGGGTCAGGTCCGGTCCGGTTCAGGTTGGGTTTAAAGTCCGGTCCAATTTTTGTACACCCTCAATTTATATATATATATATATATAGAATCGAGTTATAATGAGAACCTCTTGCATAATAGAAACTAGGAACTAATTAGGACCGTTGGATCTAACTTAGATGCGCCGTTGGATCTAACTTAGATGCGCGCTTGATGAGCAGCCCAAATTAATTCACAATAAGCGCACTTTATGCCATTTCTCTCTCCTCAAGCGCAGCGAACTTCCTGGCTACATCCATTGAAGCGGATTTCGAGCTTTCTCTACTCCATTGAAGCAGCTTCTGAAGTAAGATGTTTGTTTTCCTCTTTTTTGAATCACGAATTGCAATTTCACTATCTATGGTAAATCGTTAATTATTTTGTCAATTTAGGATTCTTTATATTGAAATTCGAGCTTTTGAGGTTATGAATGATTATACGATTAATTTTTTTGCTAGAATTACTAAACACCTAGATCTGAAAGTATCTCTGGGTTATGATTTTTTGAATGTTTTTAGCTTATGATTTGGAGCTCGATTCTAAACACTAGTGAGATTTTCATGCCTGAATTTGTCTTCTTTTTTTTTTTTACTTTACATTGAATTAATTTTGATTATTCAATTATTGTTGTTGATTTCTTAATGCACACTAAGTGTTTGACAAAATGCCTCAATGAATCCTACTATTTAATCAATTTCAAAAATAGATATATATAGGTTCGCAAGCCTAGTTGCTAATTTAAGCTATTTTCTTCTTTCTTCATGTACAATGTTCTTGTGTTGCGTCTCGTACCTGTGTCCATGAAAGTATATATCTCATAAAAGTAAACTATATGCATAAGTATACGAATCCTCTCTTAAAGTAAGCATAGGCTAGCCTAATTTGGGTGTGAGGAATTCGCCAAGGACCCCGAGCCTCTAGTCTCAAAGAGTTGTGAGGTCGCTCTCAGCATGCTTGAGTTTGAAAAATCTGGCAAATCTTTTGAGGTACATAAACTAGTATATATATACGTTTCTTTAAGATCTAATCTGTCGGGTATAGAGCTTCTGATTCTTGAATTTTTGTGATTGCAGTACCTTTTCATGCAAGTTCCTGTTGTTGGGGAAGCTGCTTAATCATTGGAAGGGAAACCTTCTATGTCAGAAGCATTTTCCTATCGCTCCTTGAGGTTTATCATACTATATACTTGGTGATATACAAGATTTAAATTATTTTGACACTAAGAAGAGGATTGTTCTTGACCCGGATATCAAACCAACAATAAATTGTAGAACATTATCAGGGACGTTGCTCATCTTCTCCAACGAAACTCGTCTGTTACTATTCTCCATGCTGGGAGGGTAGTCAACCATTTGGCTCACCAGCTAGCTGCTCTTGGAAGATGTCAACCTCAGGTAAGAATGTTCCATATTTGTCCTCCTAATGAGATGTTTGACACTTGCACTGCTAAAATTCCAGATCTTGAAGCTGCTTGATCAAGGCTTCTTTGATGTTGTTCCTCGCCAAACTTTTGCTTCAACTGTCACCTTCACTCGGCATTTTGTCAGCAACTTTATTTTTAGTTATTTCTTGCTTTCTTTGTCTTTCTGTAATCTTTTCTATTCTAGGAGTGGTCTTACCACTTAATCCTCTTTTGTGTTAAAAAAAAGAGTTTGTGAGGTACCAAATTGGGCTTATATTAACTCCACTCACTCTAGTAACGGCTTTCCTCTTACCTGTCATTCTAGATTTTATGAAAAACAAATGATATCATGTTCATTTTGAATCTCTGCATTCGGATTCTGTTTTCAAATTTTTTATGCTACCTACTATGCAGATTGAGTTCAAGGCACAACTATGATGTTCATTTCATATTCTTATTGTTTTTTGTTTTGTTTTTGCTTTACATCTAATTCACTCTGCATCTTTGAATATGAAATAAGTATTGTGATATGCATTCTCTCCTGGCAACTCTAATTTAGTATGGCTATCCGTTTTGTTTAATTTGTTTTTATAATTTGATTACAACTTGATCTGAGTTTTCTACTCTCCTATTTAACATCTCTCTTTCACACACATGATTAAGGCTATATCTTAGCATGGTTTAGAGTGATTGGAAGACATAGAGTATTGAGCCCTAAAAATCGCCCAGTTGTGTAATGAAAGATTGAGAGAGTTGTCTAAATGAAAGGAATGTGTATTATATGGTATTATAGAATTTAGTTTCATAGTCTTAAGGGAATGCTTCACTTGTAGGAATTATGATTGGCGGTGCAAATCAGAAAAATTGGAGTGGTTTTTAGCTACATGTTTCAGTTTGGGATTTGAATGTGATGAAAATCTGCAATCTAGCAGTTCTTCTGTACATGTTTGTTTGAATTTAAAATGTTTTTCCTGCTGCTGTTGAACTCAGGAAAATTCTTTGCCAAAAGATGAGAAGCCTGTTGACTGAAAATCTGTTGAATTAGCAAAGGTTGAGACTGCAGCAGAAGCTGCTCCCGAGAAAACTAAAGAAGCACCTGCTGCTGTAGAAGATAGCAGTGAAGCTCGCACCCTCTGCTCCAGCTGTTGGGAGCAGTGAGGCTCAAGCTGATGATGCTCAAACAAGCAATGAGGATGATGCTCCAGCAGCTGAGGAAAGCATTGAAGCTCCAGAGCAAAAAAGAAGCTCTAGAGCAAGAAGAAGCTAGAAAAATTAATGGTCATTTTACTATAAAAAAAAAAGTTAAATGAGATTATCGATTATGCTTTATATTGTTACTAGGTGTACTAAAACCTATTAGCTCAAGTGGTAGAGCACTATGCAAATGCATAGGGGATGTAGGTTCAATTCCTACATAGGTTGTCTCTAAAACTAAATGAAAAACGCTTAAAGTAAATTAAACAGCATTGAAGTAAATAAAAAAAACTCAAAAGTAAATAAAAAACACTCAAAAGTAAATAAATCAAAAACAGATGAGGTGAACTGGAATTGCAGGAACTGGAATTGCTCTAGATGCTTGTCTTCTCACAAAGCATCTAAAAACATTCGGTGGAATTCAATGGGAGATAACAAGCAAGGTTTGGGTGGAGCTATTATGTGATGCTGCTATGCTTTGCTCACCCAAGTCCCATGGCGTGCAATAAAGCAAGTGAATCGCTAAACATCGCCCGCAAATTACCATATAAAGCCCACAAGTATGACTTGGTGTGACCATTATGCCCATTTTCTAAAATTGAAATAATCTCGGTTTAAAAAATGTGGAGCCGTACTGGCTCGCCGGGGGAGACCTGAGGGCAGGCCTGAGATGCGGGGGACGCCGGAGGTACGTCGTCGTCGACGGAAAACGAGGTAAGTCACCGTTAAAATTCACGGTTTACCGTCGGAGTGGCTCCGGCGCCTAGGATGGACGCCCAAACCGTAGCCTGGACGTCCAAGCCAGACGCCAGAACCACCACAGTGGCGTCCAACCCAGACGCCCAGACCACCAGGCGTCCTGGCCAGGCGCCACTCTACTAGCTGAGGCGGCCCTGCCAGGCGCCAGTCCAGCCCTGGCAGACGCCACCTTTATATAATAATTTTTTTTTTCTTTTTTGATTTTGTTGTTGTTTTTTATTTATTTATTTATTTTTTTTAAAAAAAAATCGAAAATGATTTTTTAAAAAAATTCAAAATGGGTTTTTTAAAAATTAATTTTGAAAATTCGAAATAGGTTTTTTTAAAATTAAGTTTGAAAATTCGAAATGGTATATTTTTAAATTTAGTTTGAAAATTCGAATTCGGTTTTTATAAAAATTAAGTTTGATTATACATAATTATGCCTTTTTTGTGTTAATTCTGTGTAAATATAGAAATTAAATGTATTATCCGTTAAATGTATTTATTATAATATATAATTGATGCAGGATTATGGTGGAGACGGAAATGATTACAGTGGGATATTTGGACATGATGGTTCATTCGAAGAAGCTCAACAGGCGATTGATTAGGCAAAACAGGTTGCAATTGCAGCTGGATTTTGCTTGGTAGTAGTAACTCATAAATCTCAACGGGATGGTAGAATGGATCGCATTTTGAGATGTGACCGTTATCGCAAAAGAGAAGAAAGAGATTTTCGTACAGCCACTCGGTTTGATACAAAGCGGAAAGGTTGTGGGTGTGAGTTCAGAGTAAAGGTTCGACAACTACGGAGTCGTGACGGTTGGGAAGTGATTGGTTACTCTAAATGGGGGTATCACAACCATGAGATGATAGTATATGAAGAGGGTCATCGATAGCTGAGCGGCTTAAGTCCTGCTGCGAAACTAGTTGTGAAAGAAATGAGTGATGCTCAAGTCAAGCCTGCTAAAATATTAGCATCTGTGTTAGAGAAATTTCCAGAAGACCATCCAAACCGAAGACACATCTACAACGTCAGACAGCAACTCAGGTTTGAACGGTCAGAGGGAAGGAACCCTATACAGCAGCTGCTACACCAGGCACAATCACGTGGTTACCTGTTCTGGTTTGATTCTGATGAAGATACAGCGGAGGTGACTCATCTTTTCCTTGTGCATCCTGATTGTGCTGATATGATCAAGTCTTGGCCATTTGTGATTTTGATCGACTCAACGTACAAGACAAACAAGTACAAGTTCCCACTGGTTGAGATCATGGGGATGACTCCAACGAACCAGAACTTTTACAAATGCGTACCAGGATGACTTGGATGGCGCTCTGCGGCGTATCCGGTGGGGAGGTGGACCTTGCGGCCAAAATCATTATTTTGACGCGCCCCTAGATCTGTTTGCCGTTGCAAACATTTACAAATGCGCAGTCATGCATTTCGGCCTGGGAGTGCATAGTCAAGCTTATTATCCTTGTACCACGGTTCTCCCTTGGCGGTCGCGTGACACTGTCACCACACCGGTCAAAGAGGTAGCTATTGCGTTTCTTGGGTCGTCATACAGACATTTCATCCGACTAGACATGTCATCCGATTTTCCAGTGCCACCGATTATACCTCGGTGGTACACCATTCGCACAGCGAGCGTAGAGGGTTGGGATGCGCTATATCATGACCGGATCCACGAATGGAACACCCTAGCTGCATTTTAGTTTTTCATGTTTACATTCTTCCTATGTAATCTTATTTGTACGTTGCTCTTTTAATGAGAACATTAATCTTTTATATTGTATTGCTTACTGCATTCTATATGTTGCATGGGTAAGTTGCGCGGATCCACGAACGGTTATATCAAAATTTAAAAACAGCAATGATAATATGTTTAAGTTGGAAGCTAAAAGAACAATCTAAAATGTTACAAACTTACAACATAATGTCCAATTTAATAAATTAAAACGATAATATTTAAAGTGCTCTATAAATAAAATGACAAAACCATCAGTAATCCCTCCTCAACGACGACTCCCACTGCGCAAGGGTCTGTTCCAGACTATCAACAACAGCTCTCACTGTTGCACTCATGCTGTCCTTCTCAAGAGAGAGTTTCTGTACGTCTTGCATTATCTTTCCCATCCACTGCATACAACAAAAAATAAAAGATGAAATACAATAACAACATATAAAACTTAATTAAAAGACAACGATAAATATAATATGAGACATACCGCTTCCGTGGCAGTAGGCGGTGGCACATAATCATCATCGCTGTGGTCGAGATCTGTGATCAACCTCGGGTGCGAATACCGGTTGAACCATTCCATGTAGTAATGGTCACACATGGGAGGAACCCCAGAGGGCGGCCGCTGCAACTCCGCAGTCCATAAGCGGGCCACCATCGGAAACTGGTCCCACGTCCCGGTCATGATATCCAGCCATTGCACGACGTAGTCCCTCGACGATGCAGGTCGGACCGCCTTCATCGGGCATGCCAGGGGAGGAGGGACAACTTGGACAAATCCAAGCTGGCGAAGACAACGCTGGGGCATGTACGCCTCGACAATCTCACGATACTGAATGAGTCCCGTGTACAGGGTCCTGGGTACCCTAACACTAGGGTTCGGGCCGAAAGGCATCCAGTTCACCTGCACATAGTTTTAAAATTTAATAACATGAATATAATATGTGCAAATAATAAAATGTAGAAACAATTTATAAACGTTACCTCTAAGGGGGACAGCCTCTCCAGCAATAACCGTATCGATCGGAGGCGGTCAACGGACTTCTTCTCCGAGCGTGGACTCCACGCACAAGCACGCGGCATCCCCTCATCAATAGGAACCGGGTCACGATGTGGTCGCAATGCAGGAAAGTACTCGTATATCCAGGTCTGCAATAGAGTCAGACACCCAGTGATACCTGCCGCGTCAGCCCGACTCGCAAATCCTAGTTGGCGATACAAATACGCCAACGTAGCCAATCCCCAGGAAAACTGGCCTACACTGTCGGGGTCACACGCCTCTACTATGTTGCGTGGCCTGAGCTTTTTTCCGCCGCTCTTATCCGGAAACAAGGTACATCCGAGGAGTAGAAAAACATAAGCACTCAGCTGTGCGTCGTGCGTCCTACGTGCACTGGGGTACAAACACCGCTGCAACACGGATGCTATCTTCACACCGCCGTGTTCCCAAACACCAAGCGCCTCGGTGTACAGTGCAGCCCTGTCCACCGCCAACAACTCCGCCAACAAATCTGCCTGATCCGCATCAGCCACAGCACAAAGTCGTTTACCCTCAACACGAATCCCCATAATGGCCTCGACGTCATGTAACATGATCGTCATCTCACCGAACGGAAGGTGGAAAGAGTTTGTATCCGGCTGCCATCGCTCAATGAAAGCCGTGATCAGCATACTGTCAATCTTATCGTGCATGGTGACAGGAACGTGATTCACCCCAGTGCCCTCCAGTCGCTCGAACATCTCGCTCTCCGCCGGCCAAGCCTCAGCCCATGTACGCAAAAAGCTACAAGTCTTTTCCCGGGTATGATATTTCAACAACCCCGTAACTGAAGGCCTCTCCTGGTCCTCCCAAATACGGGCAGCTATGTGTCCTAGAAAGCTAGGAATCACACTCCCGTCAACAGGCCCACCGGGCACCTCACTCCTAACAACCCAAGAATCATTAACGACCCTCGACCGTTTCTTGCTTGCCCCAGATACAGTGGACGCAGATGAAGTGCCAGATCTATTAACAAACCTACCACCCCTACCCTTACGCACCTCCACCATATGTGTCTCGTACATGTCATCAACCCTCTGACTGAATGGACCGTAATCATCATACGGTCCACTGCCATCGTCCACATCCTCATCCTCATCCGCGCCCTCCTCCTGCTCCTCTTGGTCACCCTCCTCAGCATCATCATCGTCATCGTCATCCTCATCCCGACGGTGGATCCGCTCTCTACGAGCGGAGGCCAAAATACCACGGGATCTAACATGTTTATGCCCCGACCTCTCCACTGAATAGCTTCTACTAAGAAGCTCTACATTCTTCCCCGCACCATGACGACGCAGTGAATTCTACAAAAAACTTAAAAATATATAAACATACAAAAAATTATACGAAAAATAGCTACCACTACCCAAATCAAATAAACTAAAAACATACTAACAAATTAACATAATAAAGAAATTAACAAAACACTTAAATAAAAATAATAGAATAAAAAATACACTAAGAAAGGAAATAAAACCAACACATAAGAATATATATAAACATAAATAATTCATTCCCAATTAAAATAAATTAACTAACCAAAAACAATATCAATAATAAAAATTAAAATAAATTAACTAACCAAAAACAATATCAAATGAACAAAAAAATGTACTAACAAATTGAAATTGAGAATAAAAATAAAAATGTACAAATAAAACAAACAAATAATTGTAAACAAAATATAAACATAGAAAAAATATAAACATAGAAAAAATAGTTGTATTTTTAAAATGTACAAATAAAACAAACAAATAATTGTAAACAAAATATAAACATAGAAAAAATACAACAAAATTGATAAAATTTATAAAAATAAACAACAAAATATAAAAACAATTAAAAAAGATATTACACAAAAAAAAAATAATATTTTAATACAAATATAAAAAAAAGGGGGGGGCGCCTTGGCTGGACGCCGAGCCAGCGGTGGTGGCGCCAGCTGCAGACGCCGCAACCAGTGGGCTGGCGCCTAGGCTGGACGCCATAGCCACAGCTGCAGCGCTTTGAATAAACGCCACAACCG